ATTTAAATTTAGTACTTAAATTTGTCGCTAATTCTTGTTATTTAATTCCATTAGTTCTAGTTAATATATTAATATTTTATAATTCTTCTAAAATCATTTTATCTTTTCCATTCATTTTAGAAAATATTTCCAAAGTTCTAAAAATTTTCTTCAATTTCGTTACTAGGCTCTGATACCAATTATGGGGTTAAAATGCGGAAAATAGTTAAAACTTAGAAGTAAGGATATAATAGATAAAACACACATAAGATGACAAAAAGCCGTCAAATTTACTGTGAAAGAGACTGTAAGAGAAGCATTATTCACTGAAGTATGGCAAGTAATTATTTTTCAACTCTTGTACTTTTGAAATGTTGTTTTTTTGTTCTTCAATCAATGAACTTCAATTATTTCAAAAATTACAAATTTGTTTATCACGTCATCAAAATCATTAATTTTCAAATAAAAGGAGATAGAGTAACAAGTAGAAAACAACTTTTATCACTGTTTGTGTCACTTTGAATTGTTTAAAATTGATGATTTAAATTGTCACGTTATAAAAATCATTATTTTTCTTGCCGACTTGTCTCATAGGGTTAAGTAATTATTGTTTACACAACTAAGGTCAAGGGTGAATGAGTTTCTCCCATCCACTTCTCCCTAAAAAAAGAAAAAGAAATACGAAGTGATGTTTGGTATACAACTTTGAAACAAAAAGTAGCTAATTGAAAAAAAAATTACAGTTTTGTGAAGGTTGGGAAAGAATGTAAAAGTATAATTGTTTTGTTTCTTACATCGTGTTTGGAAAATAATTATAAACAACTTAAATTATAAATGTATAGAAATGAAAGGTAGATAAATAGTTAGTACTTATGGATCACTCGAAATATATGAATAATTAGTTACTTCATTGCTTATAAACATGAACCAAGTATTGGCTAAAATAATAAAATTGATTGTTTAATGTGAACATTTAATTCTAAATATATTTAGGAATATTCCCTTTTTATTTTTCACGGTATCAAAAGTTACTTGAGAAGTATTGAGATGGGTGATTAGATTTCTACACTGTAAATAATCTAAAAATTACGAAATGAAGAACTGTTCACCACTAGGCAAGAAAGTTAAAAAGGAAGAAAAAATGTAACCGACTTGGATAGCTTAAAACGATGTCCTAAAAGCGTTATTTGCACCATCTCCTTTCAATTAGAGATGTTTTAGGGACCCAAACAAATGGTCTTACCAAATTCTTCAATCCTTTAACCGGTTTGCAAAAGTAGGAATGTAATCTAGAAAGAAGGAAAAAAATATGAACATTTAAGAATCTGAATTTGTTTTAGAAATTCATAATCTTCGGAACACGAGTTTGGGATGTTTTTTTATGTGTTTTCTTATCAATTTCCATCCACATATATAGTGAATAATCTATATAAACATGAAGGGACTTGTACATTGGACGAAGAGGTAGCTTTTAGAAAATGTTAGAAAATATGGGTAATGGATCGCTTACGTGGAGTGACTCAACCTACAAGATATCAAAAGGGTTGGAGGGAGTGATTTGAATTTGGAATTCAAATCCACAACTCCACATGACCTTCCATAACTCCCATAAAAAACTCCACTTTTTGTCTAACAATGAAGAGACAGAAAGATGGTAGAAAATAAGTGAAATTCTTATAGAAAATCACTCAAAAATAGAAAAGTGCCTAGAAAACTCACAAAATTAGGCATTTAGATTGTGGATAATAATCAATTTCCATTGTGATCGGGATTAGAGCCATTGGAGAACAAGAAAAAATAGATTTTGCTGTTTTGAAATGTAAGGTGATTCAACCACATAAAAATATTGGAATTCATCATTTCAAGTAAGAAATTGACCCGAAATTCATGTTAAAGTATGCTTCAAATTACTTCGTTGGTATCAGAGCCATAATGTTGAATTTCTTGTTGTAATACATGTTTAAATATGTCATTACATGATATAATTGAGTTATGAATCTTATATATAAAGTTTTGAAATCTCATGTGTCTTTAATGGCATTTGTTGGTAATTTACTACTTTCTGTACATTAATAATTATGCAGTAAGATTAAAATGGTTAGAAAGGTATTTTAATGAACTTTCCGACCATATAAAGAACTTAAATTTTGGATTTAAAATGAAGAAGTTGCAAGGTTTTGAAATTTGTATGTAAATCTAAATTTTCACATCATAGATAAAATTCAAAACTTCGTTACGTGATAACTTCTTCTACACTGTGTTTCATGTTTCCCATTTGATATAATTGGATAGATCTTCTCGAGACCTTTCTAATGATATAAATATTATTACTTTTGGCCTTGAAATGAAGAAATTATGGTATCCCAAAATTTGGATGTAAATTTGATCTTAAACAATGATTTTTTAAAATCCAACTACACAAATGAACTCAGAACGTCGAAATTAGTTGGATAACCTATTGAATTTTTTTTCTAGGACGGTATGGCGGCGCTAAAATGCCCCATTTTTTAAATTAATTTTTTTAAAAAAATATTGTAGATTGATCCTGCACGTGAAAACGTGTGCAAAACTCGATTTCAATTCTAAAAATTGCATATTTGTCCATGAATTATTCTTGATTTTCCAGTATAATTAAATTAATTTTTTGGATAGTTAAATTTTTTTTTGTATTTAATGCTTAAAATAAATTTGAAAAATCATTAAAAATATTTTTTAACTTGATTAAATTCTGAATTTTTTATTAAATCAAGAATATTTATTACGTGGTATTTGACTAATGGTAGTTTTTTTTTTTTTTTTTTGAAGTATTCTCATTTTCTTTGAAAATGAAAATTACTCCAAAACTATTTAAAATACCACTTTTATATACATTCATGAGTTGTGTAGTCCTTAATTAGATTATATGATCCATTGTGACTTGATTTCTATTTTTGTGCTTGTTCAAATATGGCTGGGTCTATGCACACTTGTAGCATTCTTAAAGATAAGGCTGGGAATGCAAGAGTTATGAAACTTGTTAAAAAGCTAGGTGTTTAATAAAATTAATAAATGGATATGGAACATAACTTAGTGAAAGATGTGAATATTTTTGGGACATTTTTGGTGAGAAGTAGAATATGAGAATTTTGATATCACTTCCTATTTGTTGGGATTTTATTGCAACGGATATTAAAATGAAGTTGAGAATCTGTATAATAAAACTTAAATAATGTGAGTTTTATTATTCGATTAAAAGTGGAATTATTTTCTGGGATAATTATTTGTGATACCATGATATATGTTATAATTGGATAAATGTGCATATTTATACTTTTATTGTATATTATGGAATTATATTATTGAATTACATAACATCTGTTAATTCGTGAATTGTTATGAATTCTAAGGTCAATAGAATTTGTGAGATTCTTACATAGACCTATTGATGGTTAGTTAAGTGATGGTTCAGTGATTGAAAGATTTAGAGAAATCTCACCTATAACTACTTTGATTCACCAACTAAGTGGGAGTTCTTAAGTTGAAAAAATTAATGTAATTCTCGCTTAGAACTCATAAAATTTAGCGTTATGAAATTAAGTTTATGATAGTAAACAATAGGATTGCGGACGATGATTGGGAGCATAGTGAACTTCCAACTCTGTATCCGAAGTTGAACTATCGTATACGTTAATTTGATTTAATGCAAAATTGTATATGTGGGTCATACTACTATAAAGAATGAAGATCAGAACTTTGTCAAGTATAGGAAAATATAGGTTCTAGTACTTGAGCAGTTAAATTGTTAAGTTCTATTAAAGATGATTATTTTCTCCAATGTGACCGAACTGAGATGATTAACATAGTATTGAAATTTGTTTGTTAGTACAATTCTTTCTTGGTGAGTAGTAAGTTTAAACTAGTCTTTTTTCAATGGATGGGAACTTTGAAGGTTAATATGACTTATAAATTGAAGTGTCAATTTTCTTTGTTGACACTATCCATTGTGTGAGTTAAAAGACGTGAGACTCGATGTTGCTAAATCTCAAGAACATATTTGTGTAGAAATGTTCTAGTTCGTCTAAGATTTCGAATCTTAAGTTTTAAATGAGCTAAAACAAATGTGGATAATAAGGAAATTAAAAAAGGGACCAAGAAGAACATAACAGATAGAAGTACGTGAAAGTGGTTTTGGTAGATGACCAATATATTATAAATGTTCAAGCATTTCAGCTATACGGTTTGAATCTCTTAGCTCAAAACTAGTAAGGCTGAAGGATGTTGCACTTGAATATGTTCCTCTTAATGTTGTTTACGTGTTAACACTATATATATTGGATATTATCTTATGTGGCTAGTG